TGAATTTTTGGAAGGCCGTACATTCTGGGTATGGCCGTGCCCACTGGTCTTAGTCGCTCATATTCTTTGTCAGATAAATGACCTTCTTTGTGGAGAACCTTGAGGACCGCCGTCAGTTGACCTTCGACGGCCTCGGTGCGGTCCCTGTCTTTCTCGGATTTCGAGAATTTGGTACGATCCGACAAGATTGCTTCTAGTTTTTCTACGTACTCTTTTCTATCCATCAGTACAACTCCTGAACCCTTATCCGGCCTGGTTAGCACACTGTTTTCGTTTTTACGAAGTTCGCTGAGGCTATCGAGATGGACCCTTGTTAAGGGACCTTTGTTTTTTGGAGCCTTTCTTAAGTACTGTTGACAGCAATTAACCATAGTCGACTTCAGATAGTCTACTTCTCTAGGTCCGCTAGGTTTTAGATCAACAGTCTGACTGAATAGACTTTCGAATTGGACTTCTAACTCTAGCTGCTTCGGCATCCGCCGCGCATTGCAAAACCTAGGACCAAGAGACAGTACCTCTATGAGAGTTTTGTCAAGCTGTACTGAGGAATAGTTATGAACGTACCATTCCGGATTATTCGGAAGGGCCATCTGAGCCTTCACTGGTTGGACACTTCGAAGGAGCTTAGTCCACCTCGCCTCGATTTTTTTACTTCTGACAGTTTGCACGTAGTTTTCGAACGCCAGTCTCTCGCAATTTTCAAGACTGTCCAGAGTCGCCGTTCTCTGGCACAGACTTTCTGCATGTCGTCTTAGTGCGGCTGGGGTAGTGCTAGTGCTAGCTACAGCTGAGGCAGTGGCTATACGGCTAGCCAATCCAGTGCTATGCTGTCAGAAGACTCTGACACAGGCGCTCTATCTTCCGTGGCCGACGCCGATCCCAACGTCGCCCCAACCTCCTGATGCCAGGGTAGGTGCACAAGGTACACGACGCACATATCCGTGTCCGATCGCCGGATGTCAGACAGTTTCTATATTAAAACAGTGTAGGATGTTAATAAAAATCGTTTGTTTATTTAATGCACAGGTAAATCCACTCCTTACGGAGCGCGTCGACTTCACCGTGGACCGACTTGCAGGCGAGCACCTGTAAATAACTGTGCTTAATTTAAAGTTCAGTGTGTGTGTTCACTGTTTTTATGTACAAGGGTTCTAAAATCAGAAATAATCATTTCATTTTCCGCATCTTCTCTCCCTCACCCTTGGTTTGTTGTCCTAGATTATGCATCTCTAATTTATGCGAATATACCAACACGTACAGTTGAAAACATGAAACCATTAAGTACGTTAGAGACTAGTATTGAACGTGATCATTCAGTCAATTCGAAATTGACTGGGCATCTTGCACCTATGTTCGGTGGAACACTAATGCAAATTGACGAATCCGCACTAATTTAGCATTGAACTGGCGTGCTTCGTTGCTAATCACAACTCCATCGCGTTTGTTTCACATTGAATGTAAAAAGGCTTCTGATGACAAATTACCGATATTCACAATGACTGAATAATAACGCCTTCCTTGTCGGAGGTAATCATGCTAGTATACAGAAGACTGCGGTTTCTCTTAAAAGCAAATTCGGAGACCGAACCCACTTAATTTTCAGGACTGTAGCTTCCATAACAGTATTGTTTTACTGTGAGGAAAATCATTCGATCACTAAAGCGAAAGAACTGTTCACTAGAGGTTTCAAGTTCATTTTCGAACAAGGACAGCAACAGATTGAAGTTGGGGGGCGCACAGAAGGTGAAATAAGCATAGACTGAAATTCCTGTACTATCACAAGCATATTCTTGATAATGACGTCTACACTCCTGCAAATATTCGCACTTCGTCTGATGATCTTTCGAATAGATATGTCCAAATTGTGGCTAGCGGTGTTATAACCGTGTTTTACGTAATAACACAGTCTTTTGTTTTCATAACCGACCCTGGCATTTTCGACCTCGAAAAGTGACATTTTTGATGGAAATGTGGATATCTAGCAAGGACAAAGTCTACGTATGTCTGAAAGTCAGACCCAATATTGACATTTCCTGAGTGCACGTTTCCAATTAACGCCATACAAACCCCGATCTAGCCCGTGTGTTTGTCCAGCGCATCTAATGCGTGACCGAACTTAGGGACACTGCCATTGTTCAGTGACGTACACACGCAACGATTGCGCTCGGCACTGACTACCTGCTGCCAAGGTCATCTATGGGCGCCTCTACTCGCATTCAGCATTCGGCCATCTGGCGAAATCTGCCAGCTGCGTCATCCATCTAGCACGATCGATTTTCCCTCGGCAGGCGCGCAGGCCACCTCACGGTCCAGGAACCACCAACTCGACGTGCGTCCCTACTATCTGACTGTCCACCTGGTACGCAACATGAAGCAGGGCCTTCCCACGTAGATAGTGCCGATTCAGTTAATCGTATCTCTGGTTGCAACCAAATCACTAACCAGGGTTATGTTTGGACATACGTTTTCTTAAATACCCTTGACATCATTCATGTGAGCTCGTCGTGCTCGGTGAAATCTTTGCTAAGCATAAATCTCGAGACAGCCCAACCGCTAACTCTTTTTCAGAGTAAGAAACGGATCACTTTTCTGCTACGGAGACAGACAGCGTACATGCCGCCGACGTCTTCCGTCGACCGAATACTAAGGAATGTAACGTTCCATGACATATCAGGTCACAATCACTTATGCCGAATTCCCTTGATAGAGACGGCCGATAGCAACTCACACACCAGTCTATCGCATTTCGTGGGGGTGGGCTACATTTGTTTTTAGAAGTGGGAAACTATTAGGACTTGGTGATATCTGTCCTACTTCATAGTGCCAGGTCCGCCGTCTACGCTTTAACTGTTCCTGTAGCCTGTCGCCTCAGTAAGTAGTACGTGTGCCATTCATATTAACACACAAGCTCCCCGATCTGCGATCTTACTAGTGTTGCTCACTTCGTCAGCAAGTGGGCATATCTTTGCTTAACTTACCGCGACCATATCTCTCATTCCTCGCAGAGATATGCTAGAGATTATTTTGTCACCTCAAGTGTTTGACACTTTAAAAAAATGGAGGCCATGTTTATTAACCCCGCTGGGGACACCTGGCGGTGAGAACATCTCCACCACGTAATCTGTAGGTTTACTCACATTTTCGATTTTTCATTCTAAACTTTCTTGTACAACTCATCATTTCTGTACTGTTGTTTAAATTAACAAAATACACACACGGGGTTTCGACTTGTGAAAAAGCGTGTCTTTTGTGTTCTGGTTTCGAGTGTGCTTGACGTCGTTATTTCTTGGCCTTCGCTTGTAACCTCTCAACATTCTTAGCAATTTGTATGAACTGACGGAGACTCCCTCCGGACAAGCCTACTTCACCATATCATCGCGGAACCGACTACCTCTATTCAACCGGTTCCTCATCGGAATACTATCTCGCTACTTGAGAGGATTCTACTTGGCGTGAGTCTGGAACATTCCTTTTCTGATTTTTCGAATCTGTACATTCTTTCTTTTTGTTGGTAAACACAATTCCCCCATTTAGAGTCAGTTTTTCCTGCATATATTACTGTTTGTAGTTTTTAAGTCAACGTTTCCACTACAAATGTAATTCGTCTCCAGTATCATATCCGCTGGCGACAATGATTTCCCCCCAAAGCCATGCATTAATCCCGAAAACGAGCATCTCCCTCGTAAAAAATAACTGGTTCATGCATTTCATTCCTTGCAGAGATAAACACGCCATTAATCGGTTGCCTTAGGTGTTGGCCACTGCACACCCATTCGACGTTTTCAAAAACAACGACAAAACTGCTTACATTGCAAGCCGTTTATTTCTTAGCATGCGGATCAAAGAAGGAACATCAAGAATCGCAGAAGTTTACATGCGGATGCTTGCAGCTCCTTCGATGTCTCCGAGCGTCTCCAGTGGTTTCTTCGACGACCAGCTCCAAGCTGTCAAGTCGTTGCTGACATCAGCTGGCCCGCCTGGTGCGGTGAAAGTCTCCACCGTTTTTCCTGAGCCTACAAATTGTGAATAATTCCAGTGAAATTCTACTTTCATAAATATCAAAATAGTCCAAATCATCATACGACTTGCACGATACCGCTAGGCAAAAATTTATTTCAATAAAACCCTGAGCAGACAAATTAAGTTTTGAACGAAGTACCTACTAAGACGCTTTAACCAGTCGGTCGCATAATTCTCGTAAAAATCTGTTTTAATAAGCAGACGATTTGCACTACAAACGGACTACCATCGGCCCTAACCTCGTTGTGTTTACGAGGATGTCGAAACGCCATGCAACGTCACATTTTCACATCAGAGGACTGTCTTAATCTTCCTCAGAAAAGGGGATTACACAGAAAAGGCCATGGAATGGCATGAAAAAGAGGAGAGTGGAGAACGAATGCTGTCAGTGTAGAGCAAAGGAGGAGGAAGGA